CCATCCTTCGACAGATCTGGACTAAGTGCCTTCCAACAAACATCATGGCAATTTTAGCAGTCCTTGCTGATGAACTTCCGTTGGACAAACTAGCCGAAGCGGCTGACGAAGTCCATGAACGCTTTTTTAAAACTGCTGTGAATAATGTGACTGGACCGAGCTCCACTAGTCCATCTGGAAGTACCGCACTTGAGGATGTTAGTGAACGACTCTCGCGCTTAGAACTCGCTGTGTCTCACATCGGTCGTGAACGACCTGATAACCGTAGATTCAACTCAAGGAGGGGCCGCCGTTGTCAATTCCGCACCAGCCGATCGCGATCATACTGCTACTACCACCGCCGTTTCGGCGATGCCGCTCGTAATTGTCGCCCAGGTTGTAACTACCCGAAGACGCTTTTGGATTCTCGGCAGGGAAACGACAACGCCAGCCAGTGATGGCGACAGCTGCTGCTGGCCAAACCATTAGTCGCCTGTTGTACGTTTTCGATTCCACCACCAAACTCCATTTTTTGGTCGTTACTGGCGCAGAGGTGAGCGTTATACCTCGATCCTTAGAAAAACGTACTCTGAGACCATCCGGAATTACCTTATAGGCAGCTAACAAAACCAAGATCGCGACGTATGGCCAGAGGCTGCTGACACTTAACCTTGGATTGCGATGAAATTTCACCTTCATCTTTCTAATTGCCGATGTACAGAAGCCCATCATTGGTATTGACTTTCTCACAAAATTCGGCCTGGTCGTAGACCTGCGATGTGGCAAGCTACGAGATGGTACTACATCGTTAACTGTTTCCGGACAGCTCGCTACGGTCAATTCAATTAAGCTTCATGTACTTCTGCCTAAAGAGTCACGCTACTCATCACTGCTGCAACAATTTCCCTACCTTCTTAAAGCAGCTGACGGCACTCTAGAGCCCAAGCACTATATCTGTCACCATATCGCCACAACCGGTCCTCCTGTGTCTGCCCAGCCAAGACGCCTCCCACCGGACAAACTACAAGCGGCCAAGAGAGTGTTCGAACATATGCCTAACCTCGGGATCATATGCCCTTCCAAAAGCTGCTGGGCATCTCCGCTTCATTTGGTGCCCAAAAAGACCAGCGATTTGAGACCATGTGGCGACTACTGTGCGCTCAACAGTGTCACTGTTCCCGATAGATACCCAATTTCCCATAGCCATGATTTATCTAGCAACTTGCACGGAAAGTCTGTTTTCTCTACAATCGACCTAGTTCGTGCATACCATCACATTCCTGTCGCTCCTAAGGACATTCCAAATACCGCCATTACTACCCCCTTCGGTCTCCCTAAATTCGTCCGTATGCCCTTTGGATTGCGAAACGCTGCCCAAACCTTTCATTGCTCAAGTCATAAGAGGACTAGACTTCGTCCTCGCCTACACCGACGACATTCGCGTCACCAGTGCAAACGATGAGGAACACCTGTCACATCTTCGTCTGATCTTCCAGCTTTTTGCTCAGTATGGAGTGACGATTAATGCTGACAAATACATTTTCGGCCAATCCTGTGTCCATTTTCTCGGTCACCGAATCAACCACAATGGTATTCGCCCACTCCCCGAAAAAACGCAGGCAATCGCGGATTACCCAATGCCTCAACCCTTCAAAAATTAGCGTCGTTCCCTCAGGATGGTCAACTATTACAATCGTTTCATTCCAGATTGTTTCCGGCTACTTCGGCCTCTGACAGATTTACTAAGAGGCGAGTCCCGAAAGTTTGAGCCGACAGCAGAAGCTATTGTGGCATTCGATAGGGTCAAGCAGGCGTTATCCAACGCCACAGCGCTTAGCCACATGAAAACCGATGTTGATGCACATCTCGTTCTCAGGACAGACGCATCACAAACTGCCGTTGGCGCCGTTTTACAGCAGCTGAACAACAGCCAACCTCAACCTTTATCTTTCTTCTCTAAAAAGCTTCAGTCTGCTCAAACTCGATACAGCACATTTGGTCGGGAACTTCTGGCTATTTACCTTGCCATTAAGCACTTCCGACATCTGCTTTAAGGACGTACCTTCACTATCCTAACGGATCACAAACCGCTAGCTTTTGCCTTCCGCGGTTCCTCCGATCGATTTTCACCTCGTGAGACCCTTCATTTAGACTACATATCACAGTTCACGACAGTCATTCGTCACGTCGATGCCACTAACAACACTGTTGCTGACGCAATGTCTCGTATTGATCTCCATCATATATCACGTCAAACTATTAATCTCGAGGATATCGCAGCTCACCAAGAAGACGATCCTGAGTTCGCAGACTTGAAGACAAACACTTCCTTGAAACTCTCGCAATTGCCTATTGTTAATTCCGATTCCAAAGTCTATTGTGCTCTATCGACTGGAAAGCCAAGACCTTTTGTTCCGCAGACTTGTTTTCGATCATCTGCATGGCCTTTCCCACCCTGGCATTCAAGCCACGGTCAAGTAAAGCGCCGACCGCTACATATGGCACAATATGCGTTCCGACATCCAAAAATCGGCGAAGCATTGTGTCACTTGTCAAACTAGCAAGATACATCGGCACACGATCACCGTACCTCGCACATTTGCGTTACCCGACGCTAGGTTTAAACATGTGCACCTTGATCTCGTTGGACCACTTCCTCCATCCAACGGTTTCCAGTATTTACTGACCTGTGTCGACCGTTTCACACGATGGCCTTATGCAGTTCCTTTACGAGACATTTCCACCGAAACTGTTTCGCGGACCTTCGTTGAAACCTGGATATCTGTGTTTGACACTCCAGCCACTATCACAACAGACAGAGGTCGTCAGTTCGATTCCACTCTCTTTCAAGACCTCAGTCGTTTACTCGGTTGTTGTCATCTGCGCACAACCGCCTACCATCCAGCCGCCAACGGTTTAGTTGAACGTTTTCATCGTCAACTGAAAGCCACAATTACCGCATCACAATCGAGCACGCACTGGTCCGAACGGTTGCCAGTTATCCTTCTGGGCATTCGCAACACGGTCAAAGAAGACCTAGGCTGTTGCCCCGCTGAACTGGTTTTCGGCACAACTCTCAGGCTTCCCGGTGAGATGGTGTTAGATTCCAGAATCACGGGCGAACTAGACCCGACTTCCTATGTGGCACGATTGCGACAACATTTTTCTTCAGTTCGGCCAACACCACCCAGGTTCAGCCCACGGAATCAGCAAGTCCACTCCGATATGCATACCTGCCCCTTCGTTTTTGTGCGCGTCGATGCGGTGCGTAAACCCTTGACTCCACCGTATGAGGGCCTGTTCAAAGTTCTTGCTCGCAAAGAGAAATACTTTGTATTGGATAGAAACGGTTCGAAAGATTCTTTGAGGCTTGATCGCTTAAAACCAGCGTACGTCGAAACTAAAACATCACAACAAGCCACCGAACAGACGTTTCCCAGTAACCCTCCTACCCAGCCAATGTGTGAACCCTGTGTGCCCCCTTCTAAAGCCTCCACTGAACCAGTAAGTGAACCATATGCACCAAAGCACACAAGCTCCGGACGCGCTGTTGTTTTGCCTTCCAAAATAATGACTACCAACTACTCACAACTTTCGAGCGTTCGTTCTCCCGACTCACGTTCTAGGAGGGGAGCCCTGTAGTGTTTATAAATTCTACACCTTTTTCCTTGTAACTTCCTATTCTATCTTCCGTCAATTTTTGTATATTTGCTTTAACTCCCAACAAGTTAAATACACTTCTTCGAATTTTGTTCGTCTTCTGGCCTCGGTGACGGGAGAGTTCCATCCGCCACTGGCGCGATTTTGAATGCGGGCTGTTGTTCATGGGGACAACCTGTTTCTGACTTCTGAAAATTTAAGGGTTTTACTGCGTGAATTTCTTGCCAAACGTGTTAGTGAAGAGGTCAGTACCACCAAAATTCCAAATGTGATGCGTGCCGTGCATAATTGCGAAGTTAAAAAGTGGAAATGTTGAAATATAACATGAAATAAGTTGTTCAATAGGAAACGGATTATGAAAATTTATTTAAGGAAGTGCACTGTATCTATCGGAAAAAAGATGGAAGTGTGATAGTATACGGGAAATTGTCCTAGACAAAACGGAATTCGTGTGTAGCAGATGGCCTTTTTAATAGGGGATTTATTGTTATTTGAGGTTACGTATGGCTTTGCTAGCCGAATAATCTGCATGATGGCTGCAATCCTTGCTAATGGACAATTAATGGAGTGTATGTGTGTATGCATGGTGAGCGCGGTGTGAAGCGAAATATATATATATATATAATATATATATGATATAAATATATAAGTATATGTATATATAGATAGTTATATAACTATATATATACATGTATATATGTGTATACATATGTATGTATATATGGTTGTAAGGAAACATCATATATCTCTTTGGAAACGTAACAACTGGGAAATCTCCTTGATATGTCATTTGACCTTTGGCATGCAGAAATACTGCAGGAGTAGATGGGCTTATAGGGAAGGGATGACTAACGTAGGCATTTCGGATTTATGACCTAAGGTGTATGGTATACGAACATCAAGAAGCTATAGACGCTGACATGTATAGGCGTAATACATATATATATATATATATATATATATATATATATGGCGGGAGAGCCTATGGTGCGCTGAGGCCGGTGGTGGCTAGATCCTGACAGATGGTCTACCCACTGCTGCTACTGCTGCGCCATAGTCTCATGTCCTGGGCGCCTCCACGTGGCGACCGCTGGGTGGGAGTTAAGTTTCGCCCTTCTCCCTGCTAAGATCCAGGACATCAATCCTCATGAGTCAGCTAACTGACCATGTGCTAGACCCGCCGCCTTTCGGGTGTTCATTTAATCGAAGGCTTTGGCTGAGGACCCGAGTCGTTCTCCTGTCAGGATTGGGCGCCCTGGCAGTATCCTAGTCCATCCTCTCCGGAGGTTAGGAAGTGGTCGATGGCCCACTTCCCGTAAAACCTAGCCATGGGAGACAACAGGTTACGGGTGATATTCTCAATGCTCTATTGGCGTAGAGCACGAGTGCCACGCATTGTCTCTGACGGTGGGAGGACACCTCCGGGTGTTCAATGGTTTGCTACTGCCCACCTCAGGCCAGGCAGCCCCTGGTCAAATTGGTGCAAACCCGCCAAAAACCCACCTACGTCTAGCCGTGGTCGCAGGTGCGTATCCAATTACGGTCGCAAAACATATGATAACTGTTCCAGAACCTCAAAGGCTGCGTGTGACGGCCGTCAAGCGGATCCCAATCCGTCTCTGCAATCACATTCCGGAGCTGGATCTGCTCTCCACTGCCTTGTGGTTCAGGCTATTGAGCCAAAGGCTCCGGGCGGAGTCCCTCAAGCAAACCTTCAAACCACCCACTGCCTTGTGGGTCAGGCTATTGAGCCAAAGGCTCCGGGTGGGGTCCCTTAAGCAAACCTCCGAAGCACAACTACCACCTCGCGTGCGATTGCCCACCAATGCAATCGTATGCCTGCGCGCAAAGCACTCAGCATCGGGTGCTGGAACGTGCGCACACTACTGGACCGGAACTCCAGCGAGCGCACGGAGCGACGCACTGCACTGGTCGCAATGAAGCTGGCGCGCTACCACATCGATATTGCGGCGCTCAGTGAAACTCGGCTCGCTGAGTAAGGTAAGTTACATGAGGCAGGTGCTGGCTACACATTCTACTGAATGAGGAACGCCGCCTCAGCACCACGTGAACATGGGGTCGGATTTGCAATATCCGACCGCCTGAATGGCCAGCTGGTGGGTGAACCAACGCGCATCAACGCGCGGCTGATGACTGTTCGCCTACGACTCGGAAGAGGTAAGTTTGCTACTTTTATAAGCACGTAGGGTCCGACCATGTGTTATCCGGATGACACGCGTGATCAGTTCTACACTGAGCTATCCTCCGTGGTACGGTCTGTGCCGAGGAGCGACCGACTATTTCTGCTGGGTGATTTCAACGCGCGCGTTGGGCGTGATGCATCAGCGTGGACAGATATTATCGGTGCGCATGGCATTGGTTCAGCTAATGCGAACGGTGACAGGCTGCTCTCACTGTGTGCCACTCACGGCCTGACGATCACGAACACTCGGTTTGCACTGAGTGCGAGTGCTATAGCAACTTGGACGCACTCACGGAGTGGTCACGCTCACCTGCTCGACTATGTCATCGTACGTCAGCGTGATATGCGTGAAGTGCGCATGACACGTGTACTGCGTGGAGCTGAGTATGGCACTGATCACAAATTGGTTCGGACCAAACTGTTACATATATTTTCGTACATCGATGTATTGCACTCTCGCCGTGAATCAGCGTAAATTTAACATTCTCTCCCTCGGTACTGTGGCGAAACATACTGAGCTGGAGAAGGCGATGGCTGCACGCCTGTGTGGTGATGTGGACTGTATAGCCACAGTGGGCGACCTGTGGCACCACATTCGCGACCAGGTGACGGCTGCTGCCGAGGAGACCATCGGGCGCGCACACTGTAAGCGGCCTGATTGGTTTGATGACAACAATGTGACGATTGGCGCATTGTTGTCAGAGAAGAATGCAGCATTTGCTGCACATGTTGCAGACCCCAGTGACTTGGGGAAGGAGAGTCAGTTTCGCAAACTTCGACGGCGACTGACCCGAGAGCTCCGTCGCATTAAAAATGCATGCTGGATGGAGAAGGCGAAGCAGATGGAATGCTACGCCGAACGCCGTCAACACAAAGAATTCTTTGACTCGTTGAAGGTGGTTTATGGACCGAGATTGGAGCCGCTGAGGACACTGATCGATGGTAGTTCAGGCGCTACCTGCACCCAGACTGCAGACATAATGCAGGTCTGGCGGAAACACTTTGACTGTCTCTTGAACAACCGTTCGGAGATCGACTGGCCTACATTGAACGGTCTGAAGCAGCACGATGTGAAGGCGGATCTGGCGGATACGCCGATCCTGGATGAGACGCAGAGAGCACTTGCTCAGCTGCGAAACGGCAAATGTGCCGGAGGTGACGGGATCCCACCTGAAGTATTGAAACACGGTGGACCCGCGTTGTTGACTGCGCTGCACCACTTGGTGCAACGCGTGTAGATTGAGGAGGAGGTGCCTGCTGAGCTGAAGGATGCCCTTGTGCTACCACTGTACAAGGGCAAAGGTAGCAAGCAATGTTGCACGAATTATCGTGGCATCAACTTGCTGAGTTGTGTGGGCAAGGTGATTGCCCGATTCCTGCTCAATCGCTTCGTGAGTCAGATTGTAGAACCAAACGTGGCGGAAGAGCAATGTGGATTCCGTTCGGGTCGCAGCACTATAGATATGGTGTTTGCGGCTCGTCAATTGCAAAAGAAGTGCAGAGAACGACACCAGCCTTTGTACTCGCTTTTTGTTGATTTCACCAAGGCATTTGATATGGTGAACCGCGAGGCACTGTGGCTGGTGTTGGGTAAGTTTGGTTGCCCGCTTACGTTTGTAAGTTTAATTGAATGTCTGCACAGTGGTATGCGAGCGAGGGTGCAGCTGGGTGGAGAGACCTCTGATGACTTTGCAGTTGTCTCTAGTGTGAAGCAAGGCTGTGTGTTAGCTCCTGCCCTGTTTAATATCTATCTTCATGCAATGTTGTCTTGTGCTTTTGATGCGGCTTGTGCTAACGGTGTTCGTGTGGAGCACCGTATTGATGGTGGGTTTCTGAACATCCGTCGTTTCGGTGCGAGAACTCTAGTCTGTGAGACAACTATCCGTATGTTGCCGTTTGCTGACGACTGTGCGTTGTTTTCACACAGCGCGGATGAGTTGCAGCACATGACTAGTGCTCTGGCTTCGACAGCGGCCAAATTCGGGCTCACCATCAACACTAGCAAAACTGTCTGTCTCTTTCAGCCTTCACCGGAGGTGCAATCTTCAATATTGCCGCAAATCAGCATTGGTGCTGAAGTATTAGAAACCACCTCCCGCTTCTGCTACCTTGGGAGTGTGATGTCGACTGATCAGCAGCTTCACGTTGAGTTGCGTAATCGCGTGTCGAAGGCGGCAGCGGCATTGGGGAAGCTTGAGTACCGAGTGTGGAACAACCATCAGCTTAGCATTGGCACGAAGCTAATGGTGTACAAATCCATGATACTGTCCGTTCTTCTATACGGCAGTGAAACGTGGACGATGTACCGGCGGGATGTGCGATATCTCGAGCGGTTCCATCAGCAGTGTCTGCGACGAATTTTGCGGATCGGCTGGGGCGCCAGAGTTGCAGACACGGAAGTGTTGCGCCGAAGTGGGATGTATGCAGTGGACTGCATACTTTTATTGAGACACCTGTGATGGCTCGGTCATGTGAGCCGTATGGATTCGACGCGGATACCGAAACAACTCTTATACGGTCAGCTGAGTATTGGGAGGCGGCACGTGGGGAAACCAAAGTTACGTTACCAGGACATGATTAAAGTGAGTCTCACACGTTCTAACCTTGATTGCCGATCATGGGAATCGAAGGCGGTTGATCGGCGTGCATGGCGCGATCTAATCACGAAGGCAGTTGCTGAAGTGCGGGAGAAAACCTTCATGCATGCAGAGAAGAAGCGACAATTGCGGAAACGGCAAGCACCGATGAATTGTACTCCATCGACATCGAGCGCATTGTGCTGTAGAACATGCGGTCGCGAGTGCCTTAGTCAGGCAGGCCTAGTGAGCCATGAGAGAGGTCACTCGGGACCGCTGCCGAAGCGCCGACGGGTCCCGCAGTGAACGTAGGCAGCACCGGCGCAGCGTTTGTAGGCACGCTGAATTCGATTTACTAACCGCGTGGTTGCATGCTAAGTCTCTTTATTTCAGGTGGTGGGTTTACAGTCTTTATCTTAATGCTTTTCTTTCTCATATAAATATCTCCCTGTACTCTATTCCATTAACTTGCACACATCGCTTCAGCCCATTGTATTCGATTTCCATAACATTTTTGTGTTCGTGGCATTCCATGACCATACTTCCTGACCTCGTGCACTTAGCTAGGATTCGTTTGTAAACAACTTATTACGTATGCTATTTAATTAAGGTTTACATCACCGTTTCCTTATGCATTAATCGAGTTTTTCTCTTTTTCTTTCTCTCTTTCAAGTGTTTGGCTGTTGTTTGATATCCCCGGTGTGGCTGCGCTTGATGTGCATGTTGACAAGGTGCCTACCTGTCTATTACCCACTACGTCCTCCATACTGGCTCTAGGAGACAGTTGGTCGTTGCTGGAGGGGACGGGGTGCACGGTCCTTGTGGCCGTGCTAGGCTCGAAGAGTGGTTCCATGCACTCAGTGTGGAGCGGACTACGGTCCAGCCACCGCCTTGTGTGCGCTTGATTCCCCAAATACAGCGTGCTTGTGTTTGCCTGTGAAGGAGTGTGGGCCGGCTCCGTTGATGAAACGTGGCTCCCATCCACATGCCTCCCGGTCTTATTCCTTCGGGTTTACACTGGATATGGGGTGTGTGGTTGGAGCTGTGGGTGGTGCAGCGCAAGCCATCCATGGTCCCTCTGTAGGCGCAGGCGTCCTGTGGCTTGCCACAGTGACAGGCAAATCCGAAACCGGATGCCGCCAACCATTTGTATATATGTATATACATAAGCATAGGTATATGTTTAATACCCATATATATATATATATATATATATGTATCTATGCATATATATTTACGTATGTATAATACATATATATATAGGTATGAGAACGTGAATGGAAATGTGCGTTTATATGAATATAGTGCACTAAAATGGCAATATATGTTACCATCTCTAGGTTATTGAATGAGGTATAGGCGATTGGTAAGATGATAATTGACGAAGGTGAAGGTGAAATAATGTTTCAGTGTGAGTATGTATCCGGACGCAAGCCTTTAGAGGTGTCTCGTTTTACAGAGAATATACCATTTATTTATTTATTTGTATGCTTAATACCTGTTGAATGGTAGATGGTATGTATATCCTGCTTGGTATGTTGCATAGGGACCAAGTTATCCTTCATGGCAATGGCGTACATGATATACATTTGCGCACAATATATATATATATATATATGTATATATTTATCTAAATGTATATATGTAAGACTTTTGACTTTGTACGTTAACAAACGTAAATGGGACGCTTCCCATTTACCTTTGTTAAATGCGATAGTCTTGAATCGGAAAAAGGAAAATGAGGTCTCATGAAAATATGGGATGTGAGCATGGAAATACGTAATGGTGTAATTCGGAGGTTACGAAGTGTTATTCGGGAAAGTTTTTTCTGAAATCACTGTTAATGGTGTGAAAAGTATGGCGTCCGTAAGCGTGATGGACTTAATCAATGGTATGCGGTGAAGTATGGTAAGTGGAATTTGTTAAAGGTTCCAGTAAAAGGTAACTAATACGTAGGTGTCTGTGTGTATTCAGGTAAACAAAAGAGACAGTGGGATTAACGGTAAGGGAAAAAGTCTAGAAGGGGCTTGCATAGTGGGGTAACATTACGTCATGAATTGTATGTCAATAATTTGCGCAAGAAAATGTGCAAATAATGCTGACGGATGTGCATGCCTACATTGTGCTGAGGTATGCTAGAGCTAGGTAGGGTGATGTTTGCTTATATAACAGGTGGGCAGACGGGAGGTACAAACCATATGCAAATATTCTCGGGTAAGTGGGGAGCGTTGGGAACGCTCATCACCCACGAAGCGAGAATACTGAAAAATGGTTCATCAAAGACGGTTACCGCAGGAAGGGAAGGAGCATGAAGATCAACATTGCTAACTGTGAGTGCAGTGCAAAAACAGGGTTTAGGACTACTGTACCGGTACGTTGGCATGTTAGTGGTTAAAATGTCTGGCAAAGTTGAACTCACCCAGTACTTATTGTATGAGCATGTCGTACGCATATTTCCCAGGTTTGGGTCCCGCGTCTTGATGTAGGAAATCCACCATATGTTTTTCGGAAGATTACGGAACCACCCACTGAACCTGTGAGCTTGTAGTCCGGGCGAAGGAAGTAGCTGAGTATGCGTACTTCCTATGGGCTCTGGGACGACAAGGCGCAGATTCGGAGGGTGGCCCTGAAAAGGGCCGTTGCTCCGTTCTCCAAGTGATAGGAAAGGTGGAGTAACTGGAAGGCGAAGGAAGACCGGACCAGGTGCCGTTGTAGGAGGCGTCAAGTGAACGTACGTCAGGTAGCATCTGAAAGAGGAATCTGGACGTACAATGAATGTTACCAGGGGCGGGGTGTGCCCCAGTGTTATCACACGGAGGGAGGAGGCCCTGTGGCAGCGCGAGGTGGGAACGCAATCGGCGGCACATATCTTTGTGGCTCTGAAACAGTTGTGCCCATGGAAAATCTATGTTACCTGTGGCTAAGTATCATAGCTGCATCACATGGCGGCGGCAGTACGTGCTACGAGGCTCTGTGGCAGCTGCACCTTGGAAGGCAATGGGCGGCACATAGCAGTGTCTGTGAAAGAGATTTCAGTATTGCACATGCAGCTTACGTGTGGCGGCGTCACTTACGTGGCGACGTAAGTAACAATGTCAGTTTAGAAGCTTGTGGGCGACGCATATGGACGCATAAGTGGATTTGACTTCCGGGCGTCTTAAGCAGGCAATACCTCGCAGATAAAACAGCATAAAACGAAATTGAAACGGGCAATGCGATTACAAGGAGGCAGCAGGCCCGCTGCTGGTGCCTATAGAATGCAATATGATTTCATTCTCCAAGGATCTCTCCGTAACACACTCGATTTATCCTACGGACACTCCCACCTTCCGACTGTAATATGGAAAGAGTAGACGTCAGCAAAAATCATCCGGTAAGGGATAATAAGGGGTAACCCCCATGAATGGTCTCCAGTAGTGACCCTTTTTTAACTTATCCATTACCGCGATCACAAAACACAGGAGGTCTCAGTCGGATCAGTCGCACGCATCGTACGGGTGTTAACATTAGAAACCAGCAGGCAAGAGGTACTTAGACAGTACTGATTAGTTCTAGACGTGTTTCCACCCGTTAAATGACACGTTGATAAGAAGGCGGAATGGGCCAATTGGTGTCCACAAACATCCGCCTTCTCTATTTCTATGGCCACTTCGTCATTGTTTAACATTCCAACGTGGCTGTCTGAGGAAAACACAGATGGCGAACTAAATCTGCCTGGCTACGCACTGTTCCGCGCTGACCGCTCCATTGGTAGTCAAGGGGGTGGTGTAGCTCTTTATGTGAGTTATCTCATCGACGTATTGAGGACTAGCGGTTTTCAGTCTGTCGACAAATTTGTTGAGGCACTGGCCGTCTTGATTTACGCTTCCTCGGTAAAGGTTACCGTCGTGTTAGTGTATAGAAGCCCTATGAGCACCTCAAATGGTATCACAGAGTTTATACGCGCTCACTCTGCGAACAATTGTCTTGTGCTGGGAGAATTCAACCTCCTGGATGTCTGTTGGGATGATGAACGCTGCAGGTACCACTACACCAGTTCGTCGACCTCCGCACTAGGCACATGAGCAATCAGCAGCCGTCCATTTTAGATCTTGTTTTTGCAAACTCACCACTTTGTAAATGACATTAAATAGGACTCGCCTCTTGGCGCTAGCGATCACGTTTGCTTGTCTTTCCAGTGCACCGTTAACAGGCCATGCCAAGTCACTACCAGCTTGTATCCAAACATTTGGGCCCCGGGCTTAGGTGATACTGCTTCGAAAAATCCCAAGGAATTCTTCCCTTGCGCTAAACTAGGCTGTGGTGCAAATTCGCCCATTCCACCATTGCTTCGAGGAGATGGGACCCATGCCTATAGCGACTATGACAAGTCATGCGTGCTTGGTAAGCAGTACTCAAGCGTCTTAGCCTACTGAATGGAAGGAGGCTGTTGCCTGCACCATTTTGGTGTCAGACGAACTTGCTGGTAGTTCGTGAGTGTTGTGCTGAAGCAGGGGAAATGCGGCGGATGTGGTGTTCATTGAATTCGCCAAGGCCTTTGACACTGTCCCCCATTCGCGACTGTCACGGAAGTAGAGGTTGCATGGAATATCTGGTCGCACTCTCCAGTGGATATCAGCCTTTCTACATGGACGGGAACCGTTTATTCGTGTGGGAAGCAGTCATTCTTCTCGACAAACTGTCCTTAGCGGCGTTTCGCAGGGCTCTGTCCTACGTCCGCTGCTGTTCGCAGTCTACGTGAAGGGCTTGCCGTGGGAGCTTGAGGTACGATCCCTCTTACTTGCTGATGACCTAAAGCTCTGGAATATGGTTGATATCCCTGGAGGTCCTGCGGCTCTTCAACGGGCACTGTACAGAGTCTGGGAATGGTCGGTATTGTAGTT